CTATCGACTCATCGGGCCCGACATGACCCGATTCGAACCTTCGACCACCGACTACGGCAAGGGACCAAGTTCACGGGCCCTTTCAGTTTCGATCTACCCCGCCCGCCGTACTTGCGGGCCCGACTATCCGTCTGTTCTGTTCCGGGCACGGCGCTCTTAGGAGAAGTCCTTGCACGGCCCGACCCGCAGTCTGACAAGCTGCTGCAGGTGCTGCCCATAAACCCCAGGCCATCGGCATGTATGCTCATGTATGTTGTTTCATTTGGGGAAAACAGCCAAGGGCAGTGGTCAGGCCTTATAAGCGACGTCATGTGTGTGATCCGATGATGTGAATCAGCTTCTGGACTGTAACGAGTGACAAGCGTTACTTCGGGCCCTTGCTTTTGAGTGTCATGGCCGTAACCTTGCCGACAGAGCTGCTGGCGGTCATCGCCAACCACGCCTTGCGTTCGTTGCTAGAGAACCTCGCACGTGTCTCCAGCATCTTTCAAGCGATCACAGAGGAGCGGCTTATACGCGCATGTCGACCTACGAGGCCCCGCTCAGCAGGGGTTTGCCTGGTGCAGCGCAGTGGCGCGCAAACCGGATCTCAGGAGGCAATTGAGGTGGCTGGTGTTTGGTTTGCAAGTCATGCAAGAGCCCGCTGAGGTCAAGGAAGCTTTGCTGAAAGCGCTGGTGGGGGCACTATCATTGTGTACCAGCCTCCAGCGACTGCAGGTTACAGATGCTCTGTCTGGTAAGTCAACTCCCAGTAGTGGCAATTGTGATAATGACGGCACCTTAGATGAGCATTTGACGCTGTCCGACTTTCTCGGAAGTCAGGACTGCCCTATACGCCTCACGGGGCTGCACCTCGCTTCGTGGAAGAACCTCGCACCAACAGTGTTCAAAAGACAAACAGCCATAACATCGCTGCTCGTGCCCGCAAAGGCCCCGACGGGCGCTCCCGCCGCTGCTGCTCTCTTAGCGCTCACAGTATTCGTGGCGCGACTGACCGCCATTCTCCCCGCCAGCGCCACAGCCTGGCGTCTCACCCACGTCATCCTCTCCAGCAATGGAAAGGAGCCTGATTTGCGCACTTTCATACTATAAGAGCAGTTTTCACAAAAATTTAGTTATTTGAGTCTGTGCTCTTTCCATCGAGGTTTTAAAGATGGTACAGCTTTATGGTTGTGGTTTTTTACCAGGTTGTGGTGGGTGGTCTACATGGTTTTTGCTTCTCAATTGATGGTTTGTGGTTGTGCTATGAGATTTATGATTATGTTCATTGTGTTTGAGCTTAAGGTATCATACATTAGACCACTTACCCACATTTAAATCACATACAAATTGATACTATGATGGCGATCAATCCCATCAATCTTGCTATCGCAGTTTAAGGCAACTACCTTCTACATATCTAGATTCTCCTGGTCTCACCAAGCTTCAGAGAGCCTCAAACATTTGAACTGCAAGATCCCTAGATAAATCACCTGGTAAGTAAAGCTTTCCAGACTTTGGAGTTTTGCAAAGAGTATTAACTTGTTGTAGAGCATTGATGAATTGATCTGAATCTGATGGAAATCTGAATTTTAGCTTCTAGACACTTACAATACAGCCCTGAAACCTCAACCACAGAAATCAAAACCTTAACCACGGAAATGAAAACCTCAACCATATATGCCACAAGCACAAAGATGGCCTCAACCACAGAAAGTGAACACAACTATAAGTCATAAACCACAACCCACAAGCAAATAATTTTTTGTGATAACTGGCCTCATACCTTTCTCCACGCTAGCAACGTACGCTTCCTCACTGACTGTGCTTTCCCTCGACCTCTACGGCCCATTGGCCAGTCGTCCCCTGCACGCCGTCTTATCCGCGCTTGCGGCGGCCCTCCCGAAGCTCACCACGTTGTGCTACACCGAGAAAGCCCCGAGCGCCGGCCCGCGGGCTGAAGCCCCGCCTCCAGCACCCCATTGCGCGCTTTCCCCGCCTCGCCGTCCTCCCCCTTCATGTGTGCCTCGGTAGCCAGTCCTGGCTCCACATCGCCATTGCCTCGGTCGGGCCAGACTGGCACACCGCCATGTTCGACGCCGAGCCCAATCTGGCGTATGCACTCTCGGATGTGGGTCATGCCATCATTCTGGTGAGCGCCTCGCCTTCGCCGCGTCGAGATCGGCTGCAGCGTCATTCGCCCCACGGGCGAAGCCGGCACCGACAGGCTTCGCGCACACACACATGTGAAGAAGTTCTCTCGACAGCGGGGCGGGGAGATTGCTGTAAAGTCAGCTTACGCGTTCCGGGACGGCCCCTTCTAGATCTGAGAGAGAGCTTTCTCGGTTGTGTTCTGTATGGGATTCCGCGTCATTAATTTACAATTGAACACCACTTGGAAATCATTAAGCATATGTCCCCTTTAGATTTGTTGCTAATGTGGATCCAAATGCAAAGCTTTACTTAAAGTCAATATCTCACATAGATTGTGAGTTACTGTATTATATTAGGAATCTGAGACTGGGATATGGATATTGGCTATTGAGTTATAACCCAATATATGGGTCAAGATATGATATTATCATCTGATATTTTGTATGGCAAAGGCTTGAAATGTCAGACTTTGGGTCGGGCCGTGCAAGAACCTCTCCTAAGAACGCGCGCCTGGAACAGAACAGACGAATTGTTGGGCCCGCAAGTATGGCAGGCGGGGTAGATCGAAACCGAAAGGGCCTGTTAACTTGGTCCCTTGTCGCTGTCGGTGGTTGAAGGGTCGAATCGGGTCGTGTCGGGCCCGATGAGTCGATAGCGTCTCCTCGCACGGAGTAAGGTAGTTCTTCAGACGATCTAAGCGATAGAGTACATGGTACGCTATCACGCCGCCTGCAAAGGGGTGATCGGACACCCTGGCCTCCCCTGCTCCTCCCCGCTCCCGTTCCTGGCCGCAGAGGGGACAATCGTACATCCCTTGCGGGCCAGGCGCTACTCCTAACCTCCTAGCACTCCTCCCCAGTCCCCTGGTGTCGAGTTGGGCTCGGCAACAGCTTGACGCATCGTTCTTGGTCACGTGCTTCCCACGTGTGTGTTCCTCCTACTGGGGCGCATGTTCCCCATTGTCACGTGCTGCGTGCTACGGGCCTGCGGTGGCCCGACACCAGCGCCAGAGAGGACAGGCCGGGTCTTATCCGTGACATGAAAAGTATTGAGACAATAAATGTACTGCAACTAGACTAAGACAGTCATACATGTAGCAGGTAAGACTCCAACCAAATACAATACAATCCATATATATATATATCCAGGGTGACAAAAATTTTGTAGTATAGAGTACTAGTATATACTGTATACTATTGAGTTTTCTTCGAGGTCTATATAGGCAGTATCTGTGGGTCAGACAAGGTGTTATAAGGTCAAATTCTTTCAGATGAGGTATTTTCTAAGTCTTTGTTACTATGCTTTCTGGGACTGATATCTGAGTAAAGTTCAGATGCTGCTTTAACCACAGCTTCAAACTGACTCAGAAACTGACCCATCTAAACAATCTTATTGTTATCTTAAATCTTCAGCTACATTACTGTCAATAGAAATTTAGAGCATAGCCCAATTACAATAATATCTCATATATCAATCATAAGTCTGGGTTAAACTTTAAAATTTCCATATAAGGAAATGTGATCACAATCAAAGCACTGTAAATACTAATTATAACAAGAAAAGTGTTTTATAGTCAACTATAAGCAAGACATTCATCTTATTACCCAGTTTCCTCTTAATCTGATATCTGTGTATTTACTATTCACTGTTTTACTATTATATTTGACTATTCAAAGCCTTGGGTATCTATATCTAAGCTGTTGTTATTGTCCTCAGCATATGGCAGAACTGTGCTAGATAGTCAATAATGATCAGGATTATAATATATAAAATAATATTCTAAAACAATATATTATCTACTATATACTCAATATATTGGGTTATAACTCAATACTATCCATATCCCAATACAATACAGCCTTGGAGTGTATATGGATAGTAATTAGTTGGAGCTCTAGTTCCCTCGGCAGCGTCGGGTCATGCGCCGTCCCGTCTGCAAGTCCTGAGGAATATGATACTGCCCAGGAACAGAGTATATACGAGAATGGTGGGAGTGGGACTCGTGCCAGTCCCACTCCCGGTGCAGCTTGACGTCGGCTAGACGAGTTTGGTGGGACTCAGCCCATCAAAGTGAGATGTGGTGGGACTCGAGTGATTGTTTCAAAACAGTGCATTTGATCGGGTCGCGGCGGCCGGGGTTGTCCACCCCGGACCCCGACCAGGGCGTTGCCCTGGACCCACCCTGCCGGGGGCTTCGCTCGCCGCGTGGCCCGTTGCGCGGAGGTATAACAATTTTTTCCTTAATTTCTCGGGTTTTTTTGAAGGAGTTCGAGGCTTTCGATGAGTCGCGACGGCCGGGGTTTTCCACCCCGGACCCCGACCAGGGCTTCGCCCCGGACCCCACGCTGCCGCGGGCTGCCGCTCGCCGCGGAGGCTCGCTGCGCGACGCCGGCTAAGTCTGATCGCTGATTTGATGTCAACCACAATCATCCACAAGTCCCACTGAGATGTTCGGGTCCCACAGATTGGATGGGAGTGGGACTGGCGCGAGTCCCACTCCCACCATTCTCGTGTACCCTCCCAGGAACAGGGATTAAAATTGATTATATGGAATCAAGGGAAACGATTTTTGCCGTTTCCACAAATCCACAGCTAATAGCACTAACAGTAGTTCATCTGCCGCTGTGAGTCATTCCGGAATGCACCGTCTCCGCGCGGAGTCGCCCTAGGACAAGGCATGCCAGTGTCTACAGGACTATCATAATCCAGGATACACATTCCTCGTACAGGTACAATCAACATCGATATCGTGGACTGACTAGGCGATCGTAATAAGGAAAACTTGAAAGGCGAAAACAGCGGGAACAAGAGTGGATAATTTTGAGTAAAGGGAATGCAAGGAGGGAGCAAGCGGGATCAAAAAACAATCATGGGTTGCTCACGCTCGGCTTGTGCCGGCGCTCCCCCATTCCCATCGCTGCGCTCTCGCCCGTGACGACTGTCGACGCGCCCCCAGGTGTGGGCGGCACTGCAAGCCCCATACGACCTACAACCTCGTCAATCGCGCTGATGCTCCCGTCATGCCCATAGCTCGACGTAGACATCGAGTCAAACGAGCGGGTAGAGTCAATCGATGCTGCACCAGGCATTGCGCGCCGCTTGTGCCCGAAGCGCGCGGCGGCAACAGCGGGGTCAATGGGCTGTGGCTCGGGCGAGGCAGACGGCGAGGCGTAGGGTGTGTAGGCCGGCGGTGATGCGCTGTTGAGGCGGGCGAGTTCCGCCTCCTGGGCTTGCCGTGCACGAGCGTGGTCGGCTTCTTCGCCTTCAGGTACGCTGTCCATGAAACTGGTCATCCCGGCTGGTGGTGTCCCCGGCGTTACTGTCGCGGACCCCGATCCAGACGGGCCCGCCTCCTGGCTGTTGTACGCCGTGCGAAGCGTCGATTGCGAGCCCTTATGACTTGGTCCTGGTGCCGAATGTGGCATCCCAAGCGGATATGGCTCAATGCGTTCCTCGGGGCTAGCAGCGAACTGCAGCTGTTGTGTGTGGCTGGGCGGGGAGCTCGGTCCAGAGGTGCTGAAGTACGACAGCGAGTGGACACTGCCAGTATGGGCCTGGGTGTTGGTAGTGTAGATCGTCCCCGGGCGGTAGCCAGTGCCATGGCCGGAGCGCGTCAAGATCGACATCGTCTGCCCGTGTGGCGAGGAAATAATCGATTTGCCCGACAGGTCTGACATCGAGCGGCCGTGGATCGTCGGCCGCGAGAAGTATGATGAACGGCTGCCCGCCACCTGTGTGGCACCGCTGCTCTGTCCCCGTTTGTGGCGGTAGAGCAGGGTGAGAACAACGGCGAGGGCAACGACGACGCAGCCACCGACTACGCCGCCAACGATGGCCCCAATTGGCTTCGACTTGTGCCCAGGCGGCGGCTTGAAGGGATCTAAATCGGGCTTGTCTGCGGCCATATTTAGTCGACATATCACCTGAGATGGCGAAGCTACACGCACGTTGATTGCTGACCAACTGGGCCTGCTGCACGTTGAACTTGCCATCTGTCCATCCCGTCGCTACCATCTGTCTCAGAACCACTGCGGAATTTCTAACAACGACTTACGGTTCGTGCCTGCCCAGAACGGGATCAGCGTGTCCGCGCGCAGGGGTATGTTTGACGGGAAGTATCTAACAGAGACGCTTGTCAGGTCAAAGAATAGACAGGAGCCAGACCGCGCGTACACGTCTGATTCGAAGGCCTGACAGAGTTGGGAATAGCTGGCCCATCTATCGCGTGGGTCGATAAGATAGCCAAAATCGTGTGATTGGAAACGCACGTCTGGATCCCAGCATCGTTTAGCTGGCACGCCGTGCAGGCGCTTATGAGGTTGTATGCTGCCCAGGAACTAGAAATATTAGGAATGCTAATCGATGCTTGTGGAAATGCAGCGTTGGAGACGCACCAGCTGCAGGGAGTTGCTGTCGTCGCATTTGGATTTGTATACTGATTTCCCGGCGTCAGGACAGGGACGTCCCAGTCTAAACGAATGAAGGGCTGATTAATTAACTACTGAAGAAGAAGGAAAACGCACTGTTAGTAGTGCATGCCCCCCAGACATACGCTGTTAGCAAGCACGGCGTGTTCCCAGCCGCGTTGTCTGCCCACTCGAACGAGGCGTCGCACTTCGCCTCCGATTGGAGACCGCGGGTGTCGATAACCGTCGCAAGCGCTGAGGCGCCAAGCGTAAAGATCGTGAAGACTGAGGTATACATCGCTGGGTGTTGGGTCGTTCGGGAAAGAGGGAGGGAAAGGGAGTGGGGGTGGCGCAATCGACGACGGAGAAGGAGGGAGATGAAGGGCGGGAGAAAAGAGGACCTCGGTATCGCCTCGCTATGTCAGGCACAATGCTGATCCAGCCCGAGTGACCCGGACGGAAGCTTCCACCGGTCACCCAAAAAGGGCGTTTGAAGGCGATGCGGGAGGCTGATTGGCTGCGCGGAGAGCGGCCATCAGCGAACGGCGTCTGGTGGGGGGCAGCCTTGCCCGGTGGGGAAAGGCCGGGCACGGGCACGGAAGGCGCTGCGATAAGACGCCCCCGATGATTAACACAGCCGGCCAGGCATAGGCGCGCGGCTAAGAATAAGAACAAGCTGCTGGCGCTGGGAATAGAAGTTGCGACCCATGCGTGGGGGCGGCAGCAGGCAGGCAGGGGACACGCAGCGGAAGCAGTGAGGGGAGAGGACGGCGGAGGAGGACAAAGTGGGCACGAATCAGAAGACCCGCGTCGAGCCGTGGGCTATTCGCCGATGTCGATGGCTTCCTTGGTCGCCGGCCAGATGAGGCTGGTACGGGTGCCCATGCCAGAGTGGAGCCCTCCCTCGAGGCTGGCTTCGCGTTAATTGAAAGTCGCACGGAGGGAGGATTCAAGTTGGGTCCTGGGAGGAGACGAATGGTGGTGATGGAAGAAGAGGATGACGTGGCGGGTGTGGGAATGCATCAGGAAAATGACAAAGCCTTCTGAGGCCTTCTACAAGGCCCAATGGGCCTTGTAAGGCCTTCCAAGGCCTTGTAGGAACTTCTAGGTCCTTCCATGCCCTTGTGGGTAGTCCTTGTGGGAGGGCCTTCTACAAGGATTGTACAATGCCTGTTTCAAGGCCACAAACAGGAGTTGTACAATCATTCCACCATGTTTGCGAGCGTAGCGAGCATATTCAGTAAGGCACGTGAGGCACCCAGACAAGTTTTGGAATAGTCCCATCAAAAAATCTTGATGGGAAGAAACCTCTTCAAACTCACACAATTCTGGTTCATTCGGCGTAAAACTGAGCATTTTGCGTGGATAGATACAAAATAACATTTATAAAAAAATTTAAGAGCAAAAGAATCACTTTTGAATGAGTTTGAAACCAGCCCGCGGGTGCCACCGTTCGACGCGTTCAACACGCTCACGTGTCGGCATGCCACCACGCGTGCATTGTCCTGAGGGCAACTCACACTTTGTTTTTGCTTCCACCATGCCTGCCGTTCACTCGAGATGTGTGCCTCCCATGGACGAGGAACCGCCCCCACCGCCGCCACCGCAATTAATGGACTGCACAAACCTTGTTCGGAACCGCCCGTGTCCTCGCTGCTTCAAGGTCGTGCCAATTACTGCACGGGCTTACAATTACAAGCGGAATATGTGCATACCGTGTGGTATCGAGGCTGCCAACGCGGAGGCAAGCCAACGCGTCCGCCGGATGGAGACTCTCCGAATCCGCATCCCCAATCGGCCTCCGGCACCGGGAGAGGATTGCACACTGTGCGGCGAGTGGTTCCCGCGAACCTCTCTTTTTGCTGCAACACAAAACGCTCCCTTGCGCTGCCGAAGGTGCCGAACTCGCGAAAAATGCACCAGTCCGAGGTGCAAGCGGCCTATCTGCAAGAGGAAACACTTTGAAAAACCTGGCGGGGGTCTTTTCAAGAGATGTGATCGGTGTCGCGAGTCTGCGACGACGAAGATCGCTCACCGGCGGGCAGCTGCCACAGCGAAAGGCCTGCAGTTCTGTGCTGTTGGCTACCATGATGTTGCCGTTGAAGATTGTACAGAGAACGGACATTTGTTCGCGATATGCAACGCATGCCGAGCGCAGAAAAGAGCGAAAAATGCGGCAGCGGCAGAGGAAGAAGCACGCAGGCAGGCAGAACTCGATGGTGATGAGGCACAGGGCGACGATGATGCGGAGGGGCGCGAGACCGTACCGCCGGACGAGTTTGATGAAATATTCGGAAATGGGGCGCACTTCATGGATGTTGATCTTCCCGAGGATGCTGCCTTGGGTTCGCGAGAGACAGAAGCGTTGAAAGCCTTCAACGAGAAGCTCGACGAGTTGCAGATCAACCACTGCGATGGATGTCGAGAGGAGGGTTTTCATCTCAAAATGAAGACGCCGTCCCGCTGTACCCGCTGCTTTTCGTCGACTGCCGAAACGAGGCCTTGGTCGGATGAGAACAACACCAATCCGAGTAAGTTGCGCTGCCAAACTCTCGAGCCCGATCTGAGGAATACTTTAGCACCTACCACCGCCGTTCCGTCCAAGCTCAAATACCTCACCGACATGGAGGAAATGCTCATATCTCGCGTCAAGACTGTGATGCAGGTCCGCTGGACAACCGGTCGGCAACTCACCTACAAGGATCACATCGTCAACCTACCGCAGAACATCTCAGAAATCGCAACGAAATTACCGCGGCTTCCGGAAGATGTGGATATTGTCCTTATTCGTCGGGAAGGACTTGATCTCGAGCACCACGTTGACTTTGTTGTTCGACGTGAGAAGGTCCGACGCGCTCTGGCGTATAAGATTGCCCACGACCCGCATTACGCCGATCTGCAAGTTGATGAAGAATCACTGAATCAGCTTCCGGAACATGGATCCGTCGTCGGCCGAATTCCGACCTGCCGGGAGGGGGCCCAAGACGGAAGCTCTGGACCAGCGGGCCCGACGGAGGCGGCAGGGACTGATACGGACGAAGACGACTCGACTGTCGTGGGTGGCGTGCCAAATCTCGGCGGACAGACAACACGCGAGGTTCCTGCGATACGTCGTCAGGCGGGACGAATTGCTGGCACTGCTTACCAGCAGATAGTTGTAAGTGCGGCTTGACGCATCGATAACCTCGCTGATGATTAGATTAGATTGCCGCACCGACTGTCGGCACCGATCCAATTGCAGAGTGGACGCCGGGGTACATGACCCAAGCGTTCCCGACCCTGTTTCCGGATGGCAGCGGCGACTACTACCAAAATCGCATCCGCAAAGTCGATTTTGGCGATTATCTTTGCCACTTGATGCGCTTTGAGGGCGGCCGATTCGCTCGGCACCGCCGTTTCCCGTGGTTTGCATTCAACACGCTGCAACGCCAACGAACACACAGTCAGTCAAAGATATTTGTCAAACAGAACCACGATGCCGGCTGTATGTCGGTCGAGGAGCTCCAGGCCCTTCTACAAGAGGGTGACGAGACCATCGCACGGAAGATGATTCGATATGGCGCCAAGCTACGTGGGGACGCGGGCATACTGGCATGCACGACGGAACGAACTTACTGATATGATCAACGCAAAGGGATCCCCAAGTCTCTTCGTCACTCTCAGCGCTGCAGATTTGCAGTGGCCCGACCTCCATCATCACATGCCTCATGAGCAAACCAACGCCGAAGCCGAAGCCGCCCTCCCAAACGCGAACAACCCAGAACCTCAGCCACCACCAGCCGCAAATAATCCCGCCTCGGCACGTCGTCAGCGCCGACTGGCCTTGGAGCGCAACCCGCATCTTGCCGCGTCATATCTTGACCAGCGCGTCCAGCTGTTCATGAAGCATGTCATGGGTGCGATCTTCCAAATCAAGCACTTCTGGTACCGCTATGAGTGGCAGGAGCGGGGGAGCGGACACGTACACGGGTTCCTGTGGCTCAAGGATGCGCCCGACACCGATGGTATCGACTGGGACGCACTCAAGAGCAACGAGCCGCTGTCGGAGGAGCAGAGCATGAAGATGTCGGCGTTCAAGAACTTCTACGACAAGATCATCAGCGCGACAAACCCATTTCCTCGACAAGACGAAAATTCGCCGTTGGTGGGACAGCACCCATGCAATCGCGATCGCGCCAGCCTGAAGAACGACAAGCAAGAGCTTGCCGAGTTGCTGAACTGGGTCCAACGGCACACCAAGTGCATGCCGGGCTACTGCCAGGTGAAGCGCAAGGTCCCCGGGCAAGAGTAAGCCCAGGTGGTCTGTAGGTTCGACTATCCGATGAAGACGTGCCGGGAGGCGGGAATTGGGCGAGATAGTAAAGGTCGGGTGTGTTTTGAGCCGCGACGCAATGACCCGCTGTTGAACAACTACCACCCGGCGATGAGTCTTGCATGGCGCGCCAACATCGACATCAAGCCGGTTCTGAGCAAGGAAGCTGCACTAAAGTGAGTATTTGGGCAGGCAGGCAATACTTGAGCTCATGCAACACACAGTTACATCGCCAAATACGCGACGAAAGCCGAGCGCCAAGCACCCGGTTTCCCCGAGATGCTCGACGGGGTTGTGAAGCAGATGGGCGGTGGGAGCGGGACGGCGCAGTCGGCCTGCCAAAAGCTTTTGAATAAGATGCTCGGGGAGCGTGCGTATTCGGCTCAAGAAACAGCGCACCTGCTTCTCGGAATTCCCCTCGTCCGAACTTCGGTGACATTCCAAACATTGTTTCTTGACAAAGATGGCGGCCTGCGTCAGCTTGAGGGAGAAGAGGACCGAGGAGACGAGGAACTTGGCGTAGAGGATACCGCGGAGGAACCTGAGGGTCGAACAGTTACGAGCCATTCATGGTTGCAGAGGTACGCCTGTTTTTCGTTGAGGAGGCTTGAATTGACGCGGGTATAGATACATGCAACGTCCAGAGAGCCTCGAAGACCTCTCCTTCCATGAACTCTTCCGAAAATACTCCTGGAGATGCAATGAGTGGCGGCCTCGGCGGCAAAGCGCAGATGTCGTTGTACGCACCTTTCCCCGCTTCTCCCCAGACCCAGAGTCCCCTCTCTACGCCGAATACTGCCGCACCAAGGTCATGCTCCACCATCCCTTCCGAACGGTCGCCTCCCTTCAAACTCGCGATGGCGAAGAAAGATCGTGGGCGGAGTTGTATGCGGAGTGTCGTACTGGCGGACACGTCCATCCAAAGGATACGTTGCGGTCGTGGGGACGAGGAGAGCCGTCGGCAGGCCAAAGATGACGAGGAAGATGAAGAGATTGATCCCGAGGTCGAGGAGATGACGGAAGAGGATTGGCAGCTCTTCGCGCGTGACCATCCAAATTTGGATGTTCCCCATTTCGGTGAT